ATTCAACCGATGGCCTTTTATGGAAAGTGCCCCTATATGCAAGGCGCCCCTATATACAAGGCGCCCCTATATGCAAGGCGCCCCTATATGCAAGGTAACGTTACCAACCCCCCTCAATTGTTGAAGCTTTGATCAAGGCTGGCGCTAATGTTAACATAACTAATGACGATGGAAAAACTCCATTATCTTATTATGCAGCTGAAGGAGACCATCGAGAACAGTTTTTATTGGAGAATAGAATGCTTATTGGTTTGGAATCCAAAGATAAATCAAGTGTGGCTTCTATACTAATCAAGGCCGGAGCTGACGTCAATAGAACTGATGATGAAGGCAAAACTGCTTTAATGCATGCTCTTCAAAATGACAACGTGAGGTTGGCTTATGAGCTTATCGATAGTGGTGCTGATGTTAAAGCCATTGATGAGAATGGAAGAACTGCATTGTTTTACCCTTCCCTTTGTGAGAATACAAGTGTGCTTCAAAAGATATTAAAAAGTGTTGACATCAATACGACTGATCATTGGGGCAAAACTGCTCTGATGCTTGCTGTGGAGCAGAATCGAGAAAGCATTGTTGCTGAACTAATCGAAGCTGGTGCCGATGTAAATGTGATAGATAAAAAAGGGAGCACAGCATTGGTGTATTGTTCTCAAATATCTGATGAACAAATGCCCATGTACGATGATTATCAAGTAATCAGTGAACGTAAAAAAAACATTCTTTCTATGTTGATCAAGGCTGGTGCTGATATGAACAGAAGAGATCATCTTGGAAAAACATCCTTGATTTATTGTGTTCAAAAAGGAATCCCAGAGGAAGCTTTTTACATGTATTCTGCAGTAGTAAGCTTAAGAGATAATTTGGAAATTGAAAATGCAGTTGATTTCGAAGGTTTAGCCTTTGAGCTAATTAAGTCTGGTGCTGATGTAAATATAACAGATAATGAAGGTAAAAGTGCTTTGATTTATGCTTTGCAAGAAGAAAATGAAAATTTAGCCTGTACATTATTAAAGGCCAGTGCTGATGCTAACATAACTGATGAAAAAGGAAAGACTGCTTTAATTCATTTTGCTCGCATTCAAAGCGAAAGCACAGAACACCATGATGGTGATCATCCAGTAAGAAGTGATCCAAATGACCACAACATACTAGCTTCTATGTTAATCAAAGCCTCTTCTGATGTTAACAAGACTGATAATGAAGGTAAATCTGCTTTAATGTACTCTCTTCAAAATGGCAATGAAAGTTTGGCCTGTGCATTGATTGAAGCTGGTGCTGATGTGAATATAATAGATGAAGAAGGCAAAACTGCTCTGATATATTGTGCTCAAAATAAAGTAGAAAGGATGTATCACCTGCAAATGGGCAAAACTTCCAGTTATTCTTCAAAAAGTGATACAGTTATCCACAACAGAGTATTTTCAGTTTTAATCAAGGCATGTGATAATGTGAACAAAACGGATAATGAAGGCAAGACTGCTTTGATTTACTCTCTACAAGAGGACAATGAAAGTTTGGCTTGTGCTCTGATTGAAGCTGGTGCTGATGTCAATCTTGTTGACAATGATGGCAAAACAGCACTTTTTTATGCTGCAATATACAATAATAAAAAGCTTGCAAATATTTTACCTGGACTGATCATGTACTACGACAGCATGGGACAAAAACCGGATGAAGCCATTACGATCCTGTTACGTCAAAAATATGTCATTCCTAAATTGCTTGATGCTGGTGCTGATGTAAACGTAACTGATAAGCGAGGAAGAACTGCTCTAATGTATTATGCAGAAAATGAATACATCAATATCATAAACCAATATTTGGAATTGGATGGCAAGTTTAAAAGCTGGTTTGCTCATGTAGAGAATGAATACAACCATTTGGCATCTGCTCTCATAAAGGCTAGTAAAGATGTTAACATTGTTGATGATCAGGGCAAAACAGCACTTGCACACTTCCTTGAAAATAGCAAAGATTCTTGTGCTATAGAACTAATGAATGCTGGTGCTGATGTTAACATCACTGATGTTGATGGAAAAACTGTACTTTTCTATATTCCAGCTAATTGTGACAAGACAGTCATCGAGAAAATAATCAAAAGTAGTATCAGTCTTAACATTACAGATAATGAAGGCAAAACTGCTTTGATTTACTCTCTACAAGAGAACAACGAAAGTCTGGCTTGTGCTCTGATTGAAGCTGGTGCTGATGTAAAAATGGTTGACAATACTGAGAAAAATGCATTGTTTTATGCCACAATAGGGGGTTGTAAAAATGCATTTTCTAAATTAGCTAATATTGTTGACATTAATGTTATTGATAATCAGGGCAAAACTGTATTAATGTATGCTGTTCAGTATATTAAGACAAGTTTTGTGTCAGAATTAATTGACTCTGGTGCTCAAATTAATGTAGCTGATAAAGATGGCAAAACTGCTTTGATTTATTGTGCTCCAAGTCTAATGAAAGTGAAAGGAGTATGGTGTATTGGATATAAAAAGTCAAGGAATCCACAAGAATTAGAACAAGCAAAAATTAGTACCATTAGTAACATCGTAACAGTTGCATCCATGTTAATCCAGGCTGGTGCTGATATTAACGTGAGTGACAATGAAGGCAAAACTGCTTTGATTTATTCTTTACGAGATGAAGATAAACGTTTGTCTTGTGCATTGATTAAAGCTGGTGCTAATCTCAGTATTATGGATGAGAATGGTAAAACAGCACTGTTTTATGCTGTTTTATATAACAGATCAAGTGTTGTTCAGGTTTTGATTGATGGTGGTGCTGATATCAATTTATGTGACTGTGAAGGAAAAACAGCTTTAATTCACTGTGCTCAACATCAAATCCAAACCAGGGAAAAACAAAGGATGTACAGGTACAGGTACTCAATGTCCAGGTACCATGATGGTGATCATCCAGGAAGTGATAGAAATGACCACAACACTGTAGCTTCTATTTTAATCAAGTCTTCTGCTGATCTCAACAAAACAGATAACAAAGGTAGAACTGCCTTGATTTATTCTCTGCTTAATGACAATCAAGATTTGGCTCGTACTCTGATTGAAGCTGGTGCTGATATCAATGTTGTTGATCAAGATGGCCACACTGCATTGTTTTATGCTTTAATTGGTAACAAAGAAAGAGCAAGAGTTGAAAATTTGATGAAATCATTTAGCATTTCTGACAGTGAGGAGGAAACTACTTCAAGTCTAAGTGCTCAAGATAGTGAACGTTTAGTTATTAAATTAATCAATGCTGGTGCTGATGTCAATTTGAAATATGACAAAGATGAAACTGCTTTGATTTACTCTGCTCGAAATGGCAATAAGATTTTGGTATCTGCATTGATCAAGGCTGGTGCTGAAGTAAATGCTATTGATAATGAAGGCAAAACTGCTTTGATAAACTGCACTTGTTATGGTGACAACCCCAGATCATTACGTATGACTGCTACATTTCATACAAGTGATGATTTCAGGGACATTGCTTTTGCATTAATCAACGCAGGTGCTGACGTAAATGTAAAAGATAATACAGGGAAAACAGCTTTAATTCATTGCATTCAAAACAACAATGAAGATATGGTTTCTGGATTGATTAAAGCTGGTGCTGATGCCAACATTACTGATCATGATGGTGTTTCAGCTATTTTCTATGGCGTAGGCAATGACAAGATTGTACATTTACTGATAAACAATGGTAAAGCAAATATTAACAAGAGAGATCATTATGGCAGAGTTCCTTTATATTATGCAATGAAGGAATCCCTTATTTCAGCCCAACATCTTCTTGACAATAGCTGTGGTCTGAAGGGAAAGGATCGTTATGGTATAAGCATATTATCATTCTTCATTGAACATTGTTTGAGAGGGAAAGGGCATACATGTATGACTGAAGGTTTAAATCTTTTGCTAGAAAAAGGAATAAAGCAAGAGGCAATATTTAAGGCATTAGTCAATTCACTGTTATGCATGATCCTTCTTATTGCCTTGACACTACAAGGGAAAAAGCAAAATGGCCCACTCTCTAAGAGACAAGATGTAAAACCATTCTTTCAAGTTATAAATGTTGCCAAGAAGTATGCACCAAAAGATAATGGCCAAAAATGTGAAATCGTCCAAAATATGATAGTGATGATGGAAAAAGCCACAAATTTGAACATGGCAGTCCCTAAGATTCTAGAATCACTGGTGGAATTAGGTGCAAATCCAAGTTATGCTGACTTGCATGGCAACACCGCACTTCACTATGCAGCCTGCTTGCCACTTGTAGGCATTTCTCAAGACACAGTACTGAAAATATGCCAACAGCTAGACGATTTAGGGGCATCAGTTCATACCAAAAATCACCAAGATGAAACACCACTTTTGTTTTGTTTGTCAAAAAAAGACTGGATAAATAGGAGCCAAGAAAGTTCAAAAGTGAAGTCCTTGGTTGATATTTGTAGTTTTTTATTGGAACAAGGATCAAGCCTAGAAGGAACAACACAAAAGGAAAAGTCACTTTTCCATCTGATAATTGACTTATTCAATCAAGGTCTCCTTTTACACAATGATGAAGTTAGAAAAGATGTCCTCAAAGAAAGTTTGGCACTGTTACATTTGTTTTCAAGTTCCCATGTTACAAAACCTGGAGTGACTGTGAATAAAAGGGATGACAACCTGAACTCTCCTCTTCATCTTTGGGCAATGCTGGAATTAAATTTGCCCAGTGCCGTGCAACCTCAAGCTTTTCAGAAGCAGGTTATAGCTGCAATCTTCAAGCATCTTGTAGACCTTGGAGCAAAACTAAATGATGGAAATAAAATTGATCAAACCCCCTTGCATTTATGTAAGACCTGGACTGCTGCAAAGCTGTTGATAGATGCTGGAGCAAAGACCAATGTCTTGGATTCTAAAGGAAATCCACCTCTTTTGGTTACTGTAGAAAAAAATCAAATTTTTATTGATGATTCAAGTGCTATTTGTATTTATCCAGATATTTTACTACAACCAAAGGAATTCTGGAAGACTGTTGTGGAAAATAAACTTGATCCCTGGACAGCTAACAATGATGGTAATTCTGTAATGAGCATTCTTGTTGAATCTGAAGCCTTTAATCTGGCGAGAGCACTTCTTGATGTTGCTTGTGAGGGAAATTATATTCAAACTGATGCTATTGCAGTTTCACTATTAAATGCCATTTGCAAAGATCGGTCCACGCGTGCCCAGTGGAAAAGTATTCTTGTTGGACAAATTTTGAAGTCAAGGGAAAAAGCTATCCAACAAAGAGATGGCGAAGATACACCACTTCATTATTGCTGCAGAAACATTGCAAGAGAAAAAACTTTTGTCTTGCCCTTTAGGCAGAGGCATTTTCATGACTTAAATGATTTTCTTGTTAATGACATGATGGTATCAGTCCATTGGACAATTGTTAAACAGCTTCTGTCACGTGGTTTTAAATGTAGCGCTCTTGATACATCAGGTCAGTCTTGCACTGAAATTGCCAAAAAATGTCCAGTACTTAAAGATCTCTTAACAAAACCACTGAATATTTATGAGGTTCCTTTGGTCATCCCATGGAAATCTACTTCTAAAACACACAAATATGCCTTAGCAAAGGTTGCAAGGAGGCAAGAATGTAGACAAGTTACAGATAGTTCATTTTGGTATCATCAAACCTACTTACAAAAAGGCTCATTTGGACTAGTGTTTGTGGGGATTAATGAAAAGGATGGCAGAGAGGTGGCTATTAAGCGCACTGAAAAACAACGAATGCATCGTCCAGAAGACAAAAGAGAGATAACAAGTCTTACGGCTCTTGCAGACTGCGAACAGGTGGTCCGTTATCTATCCTTTTCTGAAGATCAAGATTTTTCCTATATAGTTTTGGAATTAATGGAAGGAAACCTTACGGATTACCTTGGAGGTACTAATTATGATGCCAAAAAGAACATTTCACTATGTGCTGATGTAGTAAAAGGTCTGAAATATCTACATGATCAAGGTATCATTCACCGTGATCTAAAACCAAGTAACATTCTTTTTAAAACCTTTCCTAAGTTGTGCTTGAAGATAGCTGACTTTGGTTTAAGCCGGTTTATTGATAAGTGTAGCACATTTGCCACAGTGTATGGATCTGTTGCTGGTACCAGGTGCTGGATTGCTCCAGAAGTATTGAAGTCATCATATAAGGAACATTCCATGCCATCTGATGTGTTTTCTTGTGGACTACTACTTCATTACATTTTGATAGTCAAGAAACATGCTTTTTCCCCAGTAGACTGTGCTAATAAAAGTGAATTGCAAATTCACCTTGAAACTGAAGCCAATGTGTTAAGAGACAACAGAGAGGGATGGGGTCACTCACTCTTCCCAGAAGCAACTGACCTCATAACATGTATGCTGGACAATGTTAAAACAAAGCGACCAACAGCAACCGAAGCACTGGCCCATCCAATGTTCTGGCCGAAAAAGAAAAAAATGGAATTTTTAATTGCTGTTGCTAATCAGCCAGAGATCGAGTGTCCACGTGCAAAGAGAGTACCTCCATTAACACCAGTAGAGATAGATCTAGAGAAGAGCTTTAGCACAATCATCACAGAAGAGACTTGGGATCATTCAGGCTATGTAAACATGCCCATAATTCATGCTGAAATGAAGAGGAAGAGAAAATATGATACTAGCTCTGTCATAGAGTTAGTAAGGTTAATACGCAACACCCATGCGCATATCTCTGAAGACAAACGACCAACGGCCATCAGGAAACTAGTGCTTGAAGACTTTGTGTTTTTGGAATGCTTTCCCAATCTTGTAATGGAAGTTTTCAAGTGCATAAAAATTCATAGATGGTCCGACTCAAGAGAAGAAATCAAGTATGCACTAGATGACAAGATGACTAACAAACTAAAAGGTAAAATACACTTTATTGCTGTTGTGATTTTTTAATGTGAAACCAAGTTTATTTACAAGTACTGGGCGGGGGGGG